CCCGATAATCACGCCGCTGACAGTAGCTCACATCGACCCCCACCGAGCTTCCCGGTAGGTCGAACCTCGGCCAAGTTCACCTCAGCCCTCATACTTAGCATCTGTCAACGCTAGTGGTGGTGATCTCGACAGCCCGAGCTGGGCATGACTCATGAGTCATCTTGAAACACCAATAGGGGTCCTCCACGTGTCCAGGGTATTTCTCTTCTCCAAACAAACTCCTTAGCTAAAACCGTCGAGATAATTTAAGAGATATCTTATAAATCTAAAAATGAATTTTTTTTTTATACTTTAATTATAGCTTTTTTAAGCCCTGCATTCAATCATTTCTCTTTTTATTTTTTGTTTATACAAAAGACGAGCGTAAATTAAAATCAAATATAAAAAGGCCCATCTCATATTTATTATTAAATGGTTACAAACTAAACTTCAAAAATTAAACCATTACGCCAAGAAAAGTAAACTCAAACAACTCATCCAAATGTGAACATCATAATTGACTTCTTTCCAAAGGAATTACAACCAACCAAAATTCCTGCCTGAGTTATGCAAGACTCCCCAATCCTCACATAATTCAATCAAACCACGATTTTATCTTTGGTCAATCACAATCCACAAAACATACGGATCAATTAATGCTACACAGAATCTTATTATACAGAGTAAATACAAGATAAATAATAAAGTTGATCAGCAAAAAAGAATGATCATCATACATCATTATCATAATCACAAACTAAATACTGCAAAATGAAAGGTGTCATGCAGGAGAAAGAGAGGCTGTATAAGAACTGCCGCAATACTTCAAACCTTTTAAGAAGCCAGAGCGCAAGGATGGCGAAGCAATTGCTTCTGGAATCTCGAAGGTATGGCCGATAAGTTGGGCCCCTTCACTGGCCGTGGATGGAAAGTCGGATTTGGCAGCTGCAGATCCAAGAGCAACATTCAAGCTAATTGAGACAGGGTCTGTAGAGAAGCTGAAAATCATCCAAAATTATGCCGAGCATCAGGAACCAAGCAGCAAATGCCTATCCAGACAGAATACTACACAGATGTCCACTTAAATTTGAAATGACTTCTACCTATTTCCAAGTTAAATGATACGTTCAATCCTAAACTTTTAGAATTGTGTTTAAAAAGTCTCTGACCTTTCCATTTCAATATTATGTCTAATTGATCCCCAAATTTAGTGTCAAACAAGTCTTTCAACTTACAATTTTATGTCTAATAGGTCCATGACTAATTAGGCATTTTTAAAAATTGAACCTATTTTACACAATTCAATCTTGATATGGATCTATGAATTTTAAAATTTGTCGGACATAATAATATAGAAAATTGAAAGCTCCGTGGATTTAGTAAACGTAAAATTGAAAGTTTAGGAACTTATTATACACTTTAAGTTTAGGGATCTCTATTAGACACTTTTTAAAGTTCAATTTTGGTTGGTTGTAATTCCTCTATTAGACACAAAATTCAATCTCTATTCCATAATAGGTGAGATGAACAATGAAAAAAAAGTTAGGAAGAATAGTGGTTTTTTTTCCTTTTTGATATCCGAGTTGGAGCTTTGATCCCCTATACCCGAAACACCCACGCCCGCCCCAAGATGCAGACTCAAGAAACATCAAGGATAGGTATTAAATTCACCCAAAAGTTCAAACTTGAAACCTCTAAGTCGGTATGACCAAGATACCTCGAACCTTTGTAGGCCGCCCTCAGGGGCTATGGCAGAATTTTTCAAAAATAAAAAAGTTCAATTAATCCCATTTTGCGCTGATATTACCCAAGCAGGAAGGAAAAAACTACCAGAAATCATACCTGGCCTCGAAGCTTCTTCCTTCGGAACCACCCACGGCAGCACATACACTGGTAACAACCCATGGTGGAATATATGTATCACTAATTTCAAGGTTATAGGAGACACCAACAGATGAAGGTAGAGCGGATTCGCCATCTTTTGATGTGCATCCTTTAGATGCAGCGGCAATATGGTTTGCACTTCTCATCTCCTTGTATTTGACCTATAAAAACAAAGCAATCATCTTTTTTCAACAGCAAAGTAGCCATAGAAGCCTAAAATCTTTATATCAAATAAATGGTAGAGAAGGGGAAAAACATAATGTCTGAGCGATGGATAAATGCTCTCTTGTGGCTATCCATGATACTGGAACGAGTACCTCGACAAAACTGTAATTCAACTAGATCAACAAATGAGGGTTTTTGTAACCCTTTTTTGTTTTTTGTTTTTTTTAAATAAAGTCAAAACAAGAAGGCGTGCGGCATCAAGCACTTGCACTCAGTGAGGGCACTTCACACTTTTTAAAACAAGGCTTCACAATGTAAACCCTATTGGCTATGATATTGGTTTTTTATGGTAACGTTTCAACCTTTCAATGGAAACTATAACTTGTTTCTGAAAAAGATACGAGTTGCAACATTGGCTATGTCACAGACGTGATAACACAAATTAATAAATTAGCTCCACGTACCTGAGGAGAAGAAAGGGCAGCATTCTGAAAGGGAACAGGAGATAACAACAGGGGAACATCCATGCCAGCTAATGAAGTCAAGAAAGATCTGAAGACAATAACTAAGTAGTCAGCCATATTCAACGTGAACACAGATCCTGTTATATAAGTAACTTTTTATTAGAAAGATATGAATACACATCCTGTTTTTATCAAAGTTACCCGAAGCACGTGTTTATTTACCTGTAATTTAACAGGATGTCATATAACCCTTGCACATTTTTATTGTCACTGAAAAACAGCAAAGACTGAGAGCTCCTATCGACATCAAAAAACGAACGAATTCGTCGTGTCTGGAAAAAATACATATTCATTTTTATTAGCAACCTCAAAAAGTAGGCTCAAGGCCATAAATATTTAATTCACAAAATTTGCATAAAATTGTTACTAGATGCAAGGTGTGAGCTTGCCTACCCTAAGCTATTACCAGACTGATTACCTTGGAGGGTTATAATTTACACAAGGAAAATTCAAGTCCCTGCCCTAAGCTAGTGCTAGTGCTAGTGCTAGTGCTAGTGCTAGTTTTATGAGAAGTGAATACAGTATTTTGAAACGGTTTGTACATGTATACACACACAATATCAATGGCAATAGCTCCAACACATTGCTACTAGATTACAGCAGGACCAGTTACCAAAGAACCACCAACCACCAACCATATTGTTGCTTGATGACAGAAAAGGCATATACCATATCCAACTTAATCAAGAAATATGATGGTTTGTTATGAACAGATATTCAAGGGAAAATAAAACAAGGAAAAGATAACAGATATAAACCTGTCCCAAATTATACTTCTCTATCTCTGAAAGTTCAACCAGATCTTCAGCATTAACTTGTTCAACTTTGGAACGACAAAGAGGCATTGAGAAACAAACATCCTGATCCAAATTTAAGAACAAGAAGGAAACAAAATGTTATTGAAAGCTAAATTTATGACAATAAACATAGAGCAAGAATTTAGATAGCTCGCCTACAACAGACTATTCATATAACAGAGTGCATAACCAACACATCTAGGTGGCAATTTAAAACAAACTAATAAAGATATTTCCAAAATACAGCTCTAAGCAACAAAATTTTATTCTGACAGAGTTAAGTTCTGAAAATGCTTAACAATTTATCTACAAATGAAATAAAACACCTTCCTTCATTATCACCCATATTAGTTCAGAGTTCTAATTTAAATTGTTTAAACCATAATGTATAATGAGAAAAGGTTCAACTGCAAAATAGAATATCTGCCCAGAGAACAACAATAATAAAACCATTGTTTAAAATGTAAATAAAATAAAACTTGTTTCTATCTTAGCTATTCCTAAATTGGAACAGGGGAAATGGGAATAGAAGGTTAAATCATACATGCTCGTTCAAAATAGACCTCAAACCCCTTGTTGACTGGGACAGATATGCATTGCACAAGTGTTTGTTGCCCCCTGAGGCCTCTCCACTTGTAAACATAACCACGAATTGGGATGTACAAACTGAAAATTTCAAAATTAATCAATCAATCAGGTATAACTCCATAATGACATTTATGTGGGCAAAGAGAAACTATATTTGACACAAGCTAGGAGCAAGTGTTTATTGATATTGTAGTATGAAGTGTATTGGGTCAAAACAGTATCTTAAAACCTATTTGGAGCAACGTCATGATTGCTAGGAGCATTGAAATATCGTTAAATCAGATAGAAAGATACAATAACAAAAATCTACAACCATGGTCTGAGAAAACTTTTACGACATCACTATAGGTAGTTACCATAAAAAATTCTACAAATATTATTCCGGAGCATATAATAAAGGCTCTGAAATGAGTACTCCCAAGCTAGATGACGTCTGCTAAGGAACTCAGCTTCAGCTGCTGCATCATTAAAGCTTAACCCATGAGTATTTACACACACAGAGATCAAAAGCTTATGTTTTACATATACCCCAACCTGCTGCTGATGAGTTCAAAACTGAAACAAGAGAAGATGGTATGGTAGATTGAGGATAAACCCATGAATGGAGAGCTATAGAGCTTGAGGCTTGAGAAGCTGATGGCAGTCCTGCACTACAGTTTCTAACTTGATCCTGAGAACCAATTTGCATTAGGAACTGAGGCATAGAAGCAGACACGATTGTCTTGTGGATCCTAAATTTGGGAACAGTCAAAAAGGTCAATAAATAATGACCTACATTCAATCTTCTATGGTAGCAATAGAAAGTACTTGGCACATTCACAAATTTGAGAAGTAAAGGAAGAAATAAGAAGACTGTCAACTTTAATCATATTCATGCTACCTGCAACTGGATATAATATCATAAATTCATAATAAAATCTTTTTTCTAAAAGCTAAATAGATTCTCATCATAATGGAACTTGCCAACACACAGCTAGTTCAAACGAGGATAGTTTGCAAATGATTCTTAAGGAATTTTAAAAAATAAATCTCACGAAAGAACAAGAATAATTGTCGAACAACGCTAAAGAAAATAAATCACAAGAACTTAAGGTCGTTAGATCAAAATCAAATTGTATGGGATATCCAGAACACTTCAAAGAATCTATGTATCTTCTCAAAAGAACTGGTCTAATTACCTAGCTAATAAGTTTTCTCATGACAGAACTTTAGAAAGTTATTAGCTAACGTTTTGCAACACATTCAATCGATGAAATTTTCAAGCCAAGAAATAGGACACCTTGATGTAATGGAACACTCACAAATTGAGTGAGGAGGAGGAGACCACCCGCATGCTGGTTTTTAAAGTAAAATCAAGTGGAGCCTTTTGACCTAGTATGCAGCTTTCACTGCAGAAATCACTTGAATAAGTAGATGAAGCATCGTTGGATTTCTTGAAAGAGTCTGATGGTAAACTAGAAACTGCAGTGGTTTCACGAGCAGCAAGTCCTTTTAATGCTTTATCCTATGATATTCGGTAAGAAATATAACAAGTCAAACATTGCTTCCAGAATCTACCATATCAATGCATGTCAAGCCTGATGACTTGTCACCACCTGATGACAGGTCAGTGACACTTCGAAAGATACTTTGTCTACTGCTCTCAACGGTTTGAGAAGTTTTAACAGTCCTATAATGAGCAACATCAGCAGAACCAATAGAATTCTCCTTACTGCAGGCAATGATTAAACAAAGGTAACTCATCTCTACAAAAAAAACAAGTAGAAATCAGTGGAGTACGCAGCAAGATGTAAAAAAAAGTTCTTACCATTGACTCGTAGCCAAATTTGAAAGCATAGATATATTCATGAAACTGCTAGCTTGCTCCACTGGACTATTTTCCTAAATGTTATAAAGCAATTGATATAACCTTAAATACAATTACTTCAATACTTATAATATCAACACATTCTGCAACAAAACCTTTAAAGGAAGTTTACTAACCTTAGCATTATCTTTTCCAGATAAGATTCTAAGCCTAGTTTTTTTGACTGGATATACCTCATCCATGCGTGTATCAATGTATCTTGGATTTCTAAGTAACACAGGCTTCTTAAGCCCATTGCCCAAAGCACTGTTGAAACATATAAAAATAAGAAAGCTTAGAAAAATAATCGCAAACTATGTAAATAAAAGATAACAAATGTAAGTCTCACTTGTTAGAAGCAAAAACAGAAGAAGGAGATTCATCAAGAAGATCCAAATCACATGAACGCTTTAACTGCTCTCCCTGCAAAAAATTTTAGTATTATATACACAAGTTTAAGAAATGATATTTCAACGGAACCACATTATGCAACACAACTTCTTAATGCGAGCATAAGAGCATAGCGCACAAAATATAAAAGTTTCATCATCTCATTTGAAATGAGTAGTGACTAGTTAGACAATGTAGCAAGAACCAGAAGAGACGCTTCATAATGCGGATAAATATTTACTTAATACATCATCTTATACCTCTCAAATCACCTTGAAACTCAAACTTGGCATGAAATTTAATAATAATCAAAATCTAAAGATTACTTTAGTTTACCACTATCTCTCAACAAGAACAATATACCAATTAATTGATTTTAATCAACTGAAGAAGAGAGAACAAATACAAATACAAACACAAAAACAAAAGTGAGGGGGAAAACATCATAATTCGGAACCCCATGGTTTTTACCTTGATTCTACTCTTACAAGTGATAGACTGCATAGTGAGCAACAAGCCAACACTAACACTAATTCACTAAGGAACCACACTAGTGGAATTTGAAACAAGGAAAATCTAGGAGAAATATCTAAATAATGCCACAAAATGTCACAATGCCCGCTTTATTATATAATGGTTAAATCATTGGCACGTCAAAAGCTTACCCTTAGTTCTGATGGGGTCTTTCTTCTTATAGATTTTCCAACCTTTTGAGCCCCTCCACCAATATCATGAGAAACTGAAGGTAAAGAACTTGGAGCAACAACTTTTGCCATACTTGACTGTTAAATATTAGTACGCAGCTTCTCCAGTGATAATGAGTGGGAGCACATTACAGGCTACAGCTGATCACATCACCATGTCTTTGAAAGATGATAGCCATAAAACCTGCGCTTTAAAGAAGTTATTTCTTTTATTACATAATCCAAGAGACTAGATTTGATGAAGTTGCAACAACTCTCCCGTTGTAAGATGTCCTTGAAGATTAGAAACAAAGAAGCACTCTTTCAGAAACTCTTTCGAAATGCAAAGACAAACTAAAATACCCAGTCGGAAACTCAATCAAATAAAACCAATCATACTTGTATAGAACCTATTCAGTGGTGAAAATTTCATGCGCAACAAATTTTATCTCACCGAAGAGAAAAAGAAACGCGTAACTACATCACAAAGTAAAAAATCTGCAGACCCACAAATTACTGAATAATGATACAGTAATCTAGAATTCTACAAGGATGAAAGAATAACAAAATTCAAATGGATACGAAATCAACGATATTGAACACTTCAACAGGAAACACCGGTAGACAAATCAACCATGGGATAACACAATTTGTAAAGAGATCCCACTGAACACACCTTCAAAACGAAGCTCGGTGAGAGAGAGAGAGGGAGAGCGCGCGAGAAGAAGAGGAGTGATTTTGGGAGGGAGTTTTCATTTCTTTTTCGAAAATTTCGTTTTGGTGAAGCGCTCAATTTTTCGTTTTCGATTTTCTCAAATTCATGATTGAACCGCTCCATTTTTTGTGGGTCTGGGCGGTGGAATGTGACCGGTTCGGCTAGATGGCTCGGTTTTTGTTCAGATTTCGATTTTCTCAGATTTGGTTCGGATTAAATTTAGGTTTTAATTTCATTTGTCCCCAATGGAAGACTTTTTTGGTTTATTTTGAAATAATTAACCTATAATCTTGTTTGATTTTGAATCTATGATCTTAATTGTTTACTAACTTTGCTTGTTTCTATTACTGAAAAAAAGAATTAATCAAGTTTTGTACAACTGTTTAAGTTAGAGGTAAATTTGCCAATATAAATTTATAGATTATATATATAAGAAAAGAAATGGGTGAGTTATTTTCACAATATCTAATACTTTTGGTCCTTTTTTTAAAATGCTATATTTTTTCTTTATTTATGTCTTTAGCACTATTAGTTTGTATTATTCGGACTTAATATTTTAAAAAACGAAACAAGTTGACATTGTCGTACAATTTTCCTATCTTTTGCATGGTTATTATTATTATTTTGCAATTTAATCCTCTGTTGATTTGATCATAATTAGTCTCGAGACCTTGRAACCACATTATAAGAAGAGGAGAGCACCACCGCACACTCAACGCCATCAAGTGCGTGCTAACCTTGCGTGGACACACCCCATGCGCGCACGACAACGTCTCCGTGTGCGTGCCTACACCACCAACGGCAGGCTAACCTCACAAAGCGTCGCCCCACACGCGCATGCCAGTGTCCAGCCCTTGTGCACCTAT